CCCACCCCCTCCCCCCTCACGCAAATGAGACCACTCACCCGCTGGTGACCAGTGTAGACCTCTTGCATTTAAAGGAACCTTTTCTTTCTCTTCTTTCCCATTGTGATGTCTCTCTCATGCAGGTTAGACTTAGAATTCACCATTCAAATCCCTCGAGCCCATCAAAAATGGCCCCCAGTCCACATTACTGACCCTGTCCTCTTTTTTTTTTCTTTTTTTTGGGTTTTTTTTTTGTTTGTTTTTAAGAGAGATATATAGTTGACTGGAAAATTTATTATTTTTTTGTCTTGCATGTTGAGGAAATTGGAAATTTTATTTTCTAAAGGAAATGGGTATAAGGCAGATAGGTCCCAATTCAATCATCTTGGTGTCTAAGGTTTGTGTGAAAACTTGCTTTTGAAGGGAGGAAGTTTCTGTTCTGTAACATGCTAACTTAATTTCAGGAAGTATCAAGAGAGGTGGGAAACTTTGGGGAGCCAAAAAGCACTTCACTTAAAATGATAAATGCAAGGGAGCAATGCTCACTTTTCCTAACCTTAATTTTTTTTTTAAAATAGCTCACTATTATTGCTTGTAATCTATCGTAGGTGACTTTCTATAGGAAAACTCTGCTCATTTGTCTGAGCTGGGCGGTGTTCAGAGTAATGCCCCAGGTACATTGTCGGCGTTTTCTGCAGCTCTGGAAGCAGCGGCCCCATCTTCTGGTACCTGTAGCAGCCTGCAGTAGGGAAGTTGGGATTAAAACACCAGTGTCAGAGACCAAACCTGTCTTGGATTTGATACCTGAAAACCAGATAGTCACTGTAGGTACCGCTGCTATAATGTTTAGCCAATTTCCCTACGATTGTTAAATTGCAGCATCGCAAACGCATGGAGCCTGGTTATCCTTAAAGTAGTTTCTGCTTTCAAATTCCTATTGTTGGGTTTATTCAGAGAAGTCTTATTTGAGAGCCCAGAAACTAAGCAGAACCGAGATGATGAACAGTATATCTTGTTTGTCTGTCCTTCACAAACAAATCAGCTTTTGCCACGGGGAATGTTCTGAATGCTGCTACGCTGAATAAAATGTGACAGAGTTTTCCACGCTTAAATTTAGGAGATTTGAATAGGATGGGCTGGGGGGGAGGGCAAGGGGAGGAAGGGCGGAGGAGGAGATTGCCTGGAATCTCTTTTTCATGAGGTAAGCGGAGAGCTGGTTAGTGCATCTTGATTCTGAAGCTTTGTTTCTTTTGTACCTTGCTCTGACTATTACTTTTCCTGGCTTTTGAGTGCATTTCCCTGCTCCATTGGTCCCTTTGAGCTGAGCTCTCGCAGGTAGGTAGCATTTTAGAAAATGTTAGAGAAGCGTGAAATTTTAGTAAATACATAAATAAAACTTGTTTATTTTACAGGCTAAGGTGGGTGTGAGGGGGTTTCCCCTTTAGTAAAACACGTTGTTGACTTGTTATTTCTAATACCAGACGGTTCAGAGACAGTAGATGATAACAGGAGTTGGCTGCTCTTGATCTGATAATATGACAAAAGAATGGATACATCTCCTGGTTTGTGAGGCGTAATCTTTGCATTATGAGAGTGCAGGGTTTTGGGTTTTTTTTCTGTTGGCGTTCTTGCATATGGATGAACAAGGCAGCCCACTCCTTCTGTAGCAGAGTGGAACTTCTTATAGCCCAGGAAAAGAGCTTGTGTATACAGAAATGATTTATTTTTTAATTTAATTCTTCCCAGAGTAAAATTTTGGGGAATGAATGTACATTTTTTTTGTGCAGTACACAGGTAGGTTGCTGACACAGGGAAAAGGGAGAGATCTTCCAGAACCTTGGTTCCCTCGTCCCATCTTCTAATTCCAGTGCTTGGGCAGGAAGTTACTTTGCTTGTGTTAAGTGAAAGCCAGAAACATTTAGTTTATCCAGGCACTGACTGATTTGTCTTTGGCCTCCCTCGCAAGCAAATGTAGAGCTTTTTTTTTTTTTATTATTTTTATTTTTTTTTTTTAAATTTTTGAGTTCAATGCAGAAATGTGTTTGAGGGGTGTAGGAGTAGGACATCTCACTGACTGGTTTTAAAAAGGGTCTCTGGACCGCCAAAGCTGCCTTATAGTCTGCTATAGCTTTCACTTCTTTTCGGAGGGACTTGTGCACATGTAAACGTCTATGCCAAGTCTTTCAGTGCTTTGTTGCCATTGAGGTCAGCTGAAGTCCCGGGTCTCGGTACGGTTCAGAGTGTTAACCAGACTGTTGAATGCATAAATGCACCGTGGCATGTGCTGCCCCTGTCCCACCTGGTGCTCACTGCTCTGTTCCATACACCAGATGGAGGGCCCTTGTTGATAAAGCGTTAGTGTCTAGCATTGTTTGCCTTGTTTTCAATCTGTAAAAGTTCGTGGGAGTGTCAAATGAGTTGGGTGTCTCCTCCCCTCCCACTTCCTGAAGCAGTTTACTGTTTGGACTTCTCTGAACAATGGAAGGGTTAGTGGCTTTGTGTGGGATCAGCATCTCGTTTCACACACCTGCTGGTCTCTGAACACATTCCTGTTGTATTAATGAAGACTTGAATTGAGAGATTCGTAGATCTGTGGTGTTCAGACACAGGATACTAAGAGCTATGTTACTATTCTTAGTTTGTAAATTGTCCTTTTGATACCATCTTGTTTTCTTTTGTAGGTATAAATAAAAACACTGTTGTCAATAAATTGTGAACTTTGTCTTTATTTTTGAAGTGTAAAACCGTTATTGCCCCTGTTCTTCCCAGTTCTTAAAAAAAGTCAAATTCAAGGAGTTGGAAACACCTGTTGGCAACCCACTGAATTTTAATTAAAACAATCCCCGTTTGTAGAATATGAGGAACTGTCACTGAAAGTGAGTGGGGAAGGTGTTTGAATACCTGTGGAATTGGAAGATTCATGTCATTCGAAGGGAATGTATTTTTCCTGATGTTATGGGACTTGAATAGAATGGGAGTCAGGCAGAGTTAACTTTGAGGAGGATGTTCGCTCATACAGAGTTAAAGTAATAGTTTGTAGCGTCTGCTGTGTCAGATGTGGCCATGTGTGAAGTGGGTCAGTGGCCTTTGTATATGTTACCAGATTTAATGGCACCATGTTCCCTTTACCATAGGCACTCACTAAAGGACTGAAGGACTAAAGGTAGTGACAATTTCCCCTGTACTCCTTGTGCTGCCTCAGGGTCAAGGTAGAGGCGTGTTTTGGAGGTAGATGCTGGGAAGAGCCGGGAGAGAATAATTTGCACTACTTCAGTATTGGCCAGCACTACTTACTAGCACTGAATTCAAGTACAAAGAAATAAAAAAAATAAATTGAGGGAAAGTCTCATATGGATGAAAAGCATATCAGCTTTCCAGGCCTCGTCTTCCTGGCACTGGAGTGAAACTCGGCTGAGCCATCCGTTAGCCAAAAAGGGCCAGGAAAAAGCAAAGCTGTGATCTTAAGAGCTTCATCTTCGGAATTTCTTGCGTTGTCTGTGGAAATGTCTTCAAACAGGCATGGGAAGACTTAGCTTCTTTCCTTTTAGGACTGTGCAAAGAGAAAGAGAAGGTAATGAAGGAATTTTGGGGAATTAAAACTGTTTCATTGTTTCCACAAATACTTTTTCTGAACTTGCTATTTAGAGCGCTAGATAGTGGGTTGCCAGTTTGCAAATGGCAATGAAATTATGGCTATCGAATGGACCTTCTCAGGCATCCTCCATGTGCTGCTAGGCTAGTAGGAATAGAGCCGTGGTGTCTGCAGGTAACACAACTGTTTGTCCTCTGTTGTGACTGTGTGCTTGCAGCGCCAGAGAATCTTGTTTATTGTGGAAGGAGCATCTAGGAGAATTTGGCGAGAAGGGTAAAATTAAGGAATCCAGAGAAAAGGGAAGAATTTATGTGATCCTTGATGGGAGACAACCACTACAAAATTGCTTCTAAGGGGGAGAAACTCCAAAACTAACTTACTCTCCTTTTTGCTAAAGGAGAAGGTTTTTGTTTCCACTTCCGTAGTTACTCTCGTTCCTGTGTGGATCCTCTTAGAGACTTAATTTCCCCACTTTCTTTTTCTTGATTTTGTAGTATGGAGTCTGCTGTTCTATCCCCAGTGCTTTTTTTTTTTCCCCCTCTTTTAGTAGAGAACATGACCTGACTAAATGGTCTGTGGCCAGACCCCCTCTGAGCCTGCCCCATCTCATCTGGAAGCTGGGATGGGAGGCCTCTTGGAAACACCAGGGGCCCATAGGCTTAGATGAGGTGGGTGGAGAAGTGGCTGCCCTGGCTGCGTGGTGGTCAGCAGCGTGGGGTCCAGCTGGTGGCCTGGTACTGGGGCCAGTACTGCTCAGCGTCTTTGTTCGGTGCTAGAGGGAAGGGCAGAGTACGCCCTCAGTGGTTTGCTGATGGTGCACAACGGAGGGGAGTGGCTGATACACCAGACCATGCCAGGCTGGAGAAATGGTCTGGCGGGGGCTTCATGCGGGTCAGCAAAGGGAAATGCCACATCCTGCCCCTGGGGTGGAACAACCCCATGCACCAGTACGTGCTGGGGGCTGCCCAGCTGGAAAGCGGCTTGGCAGAAAAGGCCCTGGGTGTGCTGGTGGATGTGAAGTTGAACAGGAGCCACCAGTCAGCTCTCGTGGCAAAGAATGCAAACAGCCTCCCGAGCTGCGTCGCTGGCAGGTCGAGGGAGGTGGTCCTTCCTCTGGACTCAGCCCTGGTGCGATGGGTCCAGCTGGAGCGATGGGTCCAGCTTTGGGCTCCCAGTATGAGACGGGGACATAGTGGAGCAAGTCCAGAAAAACCACGAGGATGGTTAAGGGACTAGAGCATCCGATGTAAGAGTGCAGGCCGAGAGCCGAGACTGCTCAGGCTGAAGGAGGCTGAGGGGGATCTTACCCATGTGTATAAATGCCTGATGGGGGGAGTAAAGGAGGCAGAGGAGGACTCTGCTCAGTGGTGCCCAGTGACAGGGCAAGGGGCAAGGGGAAATTCCACTTAAACGTAAGAGAAAAGTTTGTTACTGTGAGGGTGGTCAGACACCGGCAAAGGTTGCTCAGAGAGGCTGTGGTGCCTCTGTCCTGGAGATACTGGACAGGACCTTGAACAACCTGCTCTAGGTGACCCTGGTGCGAGCAGTGGGGTGGGTTAGATGATCCCCTCCCCCCCAGTTGCTCCCAACCACAGCTGTTCTGTGAAATACAAGCTTTTGGGAGCTGAAAGCTTCCTCGGAATATCTTTCAGGTCCTTGTGTTAAACAGAAAGGAGATTATCTAGTTTTGAAAACAAGATAAAGAGAAGTCGCTTTCTATAAAAATCCCTTTACAATGCTTTGGTATAGGTTCTGAAGTCTTATTAAATACATTTTTTTATATAACACATCCTTGCTTTTTTTGCAGCATCGTTGCCCTTTTGTCTGAGCTCTTCTGTGTTAGAAATGTTTTGAAAAAAAATTTTTTTTTTTCAAGAGTGTAAGAGAGATGCAACCTGCTATAATATTGCTGATTTTCATAAATGACTGCAAAGCATTTGCATATTTTCAGTTACCTTTTCTCTCCCATGATCCAGAACATTTGTGTAAGAGAAGAAAAACCAAAACAATTCTATACCTGCTGTGATGTCCCAGGGGCAAATGTTTTTTCTTCTGCCTCCTGTATCATCTAAATTTTGCAGTTTTATCACTAGCGATGCGAGACTGAAAGCCAGCAGTTGTTTTTTCCCCCTTTTGTTCCACCATCCGCAACTACAAAGGGTATGGATTTCTCACAAAATACAGAAGGACACGGGACACATGAATTGAGTGAAGCTAAAATGGGAATTAGTTTTTAAAAAAAAGGAATTGACGTGGAGCACCTTGATGGCAGTTTTACAAAGTACTTTTCTGGCTACAAAAATGTTTTAATGACAGAAGGAAGTCTTAATCTGCCAAGGCCAGCCACCTGCTCAGTGTTCCTGTCACCTCTCTTATCAGCAGGTATATTGCATGAAGCTACCAAAGATCCATCCCTCAAAACATCAAATGCAGGCCGTCACTACTGCTTTTGGCAGACTAGTTCAGGAACGTGAAGAAGGAAGAAAATATTTGTTCGCTTAGCTAGATTCCATCAAATTCCATCCTCTTCAACAGAAAAGTGTTTTAAAATGTACTTCAGCCTCAGCAAACCATAGCATGTTCTACGACGTTTTATGCCCTTGATGCACTTGCTAGCTCTGGTACGTAGCTGTTTACCAAAGCACGGCACTGAAGTGGAAGGGGCATCTGATTTTGGGAAACAGAAAGGGGTGTCTTGTCCATGCAGGTGCCTGTCTTTCTACAGAATCTGTTCTTGGGAACGTTACATCTTTTCCATCAAAAGAAACAGTAGGCTTAATAATATCTCCGTATGTCTGCAGTTGCTTTCTCAGGTACATTGTCTGCCTACATTCCCCCCCCCCCCCCCAAGTTTTTTTGCTTGATTCCTAATCCTTCAAAATGTACATAGAATTGAATATACCTCAATTGTTAACTTCCCAAGGTGGGATTAAACCAGGCTTAGCTCTTGTTTAACTTCTACTTTGTTTCACGTGCACGTCTAGAGACTTGTGAGCAGAGATGCCCACTTGCATTCAACAGATATGTTTTTTAAACTGGATTTTAGTTGGACAATCTGCATCACAAATACAGCAAAGAATACAGTCACGTAAGGATTAACACATGGCAAGATGCAGCTCCACCCTACGTTGCAAGAGTGCCGAATGAACGTTTCGGATTTATACTAACCCCTTTACCTACCTTTGGTAACGTAAAGATAGAAGAAGTCACAGTAGAAGATGGTTTGTACCACCCCGGAAACTACAGCGATCTGGTCATAGAAATTCTCCGTGTAGTAGCGCCAGACCCAGTTGCCAATGTAGAGAGCGCGGTAGAGGCCCAGGAAGAAAAGGTAGTGTGTCGTGATGGTCTCTGCTTCCCCCGTCTTGCTGATCATGAAGAGCTGAGGAAGGATAGCCACAGACTCCAGGTAGATGGAGAAGGTCCAGAGTATCTGCGAGATGCAAAACGAAGGCAGGGGAGAGTGTTGGTGCAGGTTAATACGCATTAAGAGCCAAAGCTTTCACTGGCAGAGCGCTGAGGTGCGAGCGAGATGAGCAGTGCTGCTGGAGTTGGGGAAATGCTGTGCTGGGACTGAGAGGAGGCAGCGCTGAGCTGCTCCATAGATGGTATGGTCTTCGAGGCCTGCCAACCTTGCCTTTCCTGCCTGCTTTTGCTGTTAAAAATCTCAGCTATTCAATACGCTGCTTGCTCTGCTGCATGGTGTCAGGCTGCAGCTTCCCCTCCCCTTTCCTGCCTCAGGTTTTCCTTACCTCCAAGGCGGTGAAGCTGTGGTTCTCCAGAAACGACAGGCCTGTGACAGGGACCAGCAGGAACTCAAGGCGAAAGGAGTCATTCTCGCTGTCGAATGTTTTCCGGAATTTCACGTAGATCATGTACACGGTGATGTAGGCACATATCAAAAAAATGACCTGAGGGAGGGAAGGGAGACGGCAAGACCTTACCTGTGATTACACCTTCTGTGCTTGAAGAGAGGACAACTTTGCCAAAGTCAAGATCTTTTAACCTGGTTCTGGTGGGGCTGTGCCAGGGCGAGCTAGTGGTGAATGCTTTTTCTGTGCTGGCTTGTGGATTGACTTCTGCTGGAGATACTCCAGCGGTCAACTAAAGATTGTCCCACCATGTGGATCACAACTGCTTGAGCCCTCTAGGGCTCTGTGTGAAGAGGTTGGCTTGGTGGCAGCCGTCTGTTAATGCTCCTGCTGTTCAAGGACACCCAGGCTTAATTCATAGTGTCTCCTTTTGGTGGTACTAAAGATAGTGAGCTCAGCTCGCTCACTGACTGTGGTAAGGGGGTTTTTTGGTCAATGGAGAGCCAATGTCACCAAAGGAAGCAGCTTTATCCACCCTTCCTATGTATAACCCGCTGTAGCATTGGTGGCAAGTGAAGAAGATGGAATTGCTCCCTCTGCCCTCTGGCTGAAAAACTTAGTGAACGCATACCCTCACCTCCCCGAGAAACCATGGTGAACTGAGGGGAACCTCTGCTTCCGCACTGCCCTCTCCTTACCTTCATCACGGTGTTATAGACAGAGATGAAGGTGGTGAACAGGTCCAGATAGCGGGTTGTGAAGACGAGGGCGAAAAGAATCTGACTCTTCCCAGAGATACCTGCATGGCAGGGAAAACAAAGGAAGGTAAGGCAGATGTGAGGAAGGACCCTTAGGATGGTGGTTTCCCCTTACGCTTTCTTTGGAAGTGGTTGTATATGTATGTGTTTTGCTTTGTGAGCCTGGTCTGGCGTGTACGTGCTGTGGTAGCTCTAGACCTACCCCAGGACTGGCCGGAGTCTCCCAAGCAACAGGGCAGGCTCCTGCTGATGCCCCTGAGCCCTGCCTCGGGTTGTAGGGACCAGCGCTCGGTGGGCATATTCACTGCTTTGGCCAATTCAGTCCTTACCGTCATCAAAATGCCTTTCGCTTCCCTCCCTCGCCCCCTTCGCCTGCCCACCTCGCCGGGGGGGTTGTGTGGTGTGACATCTGCCACACCAAGGAAGAGCTGGGGGGTCACGGACCAGCCCAGGGACACTGATGGACCTTAGTCACCGTTGGCGGGGAGAGGCAGACACACCCAGCCCTTTCTCTACCTGTGATAATGGCCGCGGTCCTGCAGCCCAGCCCCAAAGTCTCTCGGGGAGGAAACCATGAACTCTGAGCAAAATCATCCTGCGGGAAGCTGCTGCCCCGATTTCCTCGCCCAGGGATGGGGCAGCCTCTGGTACCTGCCCACCTGCTGGCAGGACCTCCGACCTAAAGCAGCTTTCTCTCGAGGTCGTTGGTTTTGATGCCGCCACAACTTTTCACGCTCATTTTCCACCTCCCTCCGACCTTGCCGCCCTCCCCTTCGCTTCACCACCCCAACACCAACACCTGCCCGAAGCTGTGCGCCTTGCCACATCACATCCTTCCAATGCAGCCTGCTCCTCCTGGCAGGGAGACCTCCCGGAGGAGGATGACTTCTCTCAAAGACCCCACCGGGGAGGGCTGCCAGCTTGCATGGGCTATTGCTAGCCTTTTCAGCACCCGTTTTGCTCACACCCTTCACTGA